TGAGAAACTATATTAAGAGCATAATTAGTTTGATATAGTAAAACTTGTGAGTAGCAAATAAATAAATATATTTCGAATAAGTGAATGCTTGCATCATTGAAAATCGCAAACAAGGAAATATGCTCTAAAAGTTGTCTGATGAAAAATATTCACTCGACTTAAAAAAAATATATATAACTCAATATATGTTCCATACTTTTTTTCTTTTTTTGAATGTTTTAAGTTTTATAAATTTATTATAATAATTATTCAAAAAGTTTTCTTCGTTCTTGATTTTCACTACTACTTCATTAAAACTAACTTTAACATTCAGTCTTCATTCAGTAATAATTTAACTTTTGATTTTCTTTATTTCGTAGTAAGTTTCCATTTAAATTGAATGGAGAAAAATTTGATATTTTTGTTGTTGTTTTTGTATTCTTCACATATTTTAAATCTATCTTAAGTTATGTTTTACCATCTCAACGTGTGGCCTGTGAAAACTGGTTGGAGTTTATACCTTGTACTTGCATTTTTATGATCTTGAACTGTAAACTGCTAGTACGTGACTTATTATTTTAATGTGGATTTTATGTTTAACTGATAAATTCTTCCAAACAATGGGTGTTTCAGTTAGAAGTGATATTTTATTATATACTTCTGTTAAGATCTGGTCAGTTTAACATTGCGAAAGTCAATAAAATTATGTGTAAATAATTAAGTTTAATAATTAATTTCATAATTAATTAATAAGTTATTTTTTTTTGTTTATAAAGCCGCAATCCATCAGGAACATAAACTATTAACATAGAATCGCCAGGTACTTCTGTTTAATGCTAAATGTCTCAATTCGTTAAATGATTTATTAGTTTCCTGTCGGATTGTTCTTCCCCATGTATTGCGAGGCCTGCCGGGTATTCTATTGCCTTGTGGATTTCATTGTAAAATCTCTATTCCCATTCCATTTCATCTCACTGATTCTAATGATTGAGACATTGAGGCGTTTAGCTTCAGCGGCAAGTTGGGTAAGTTTACCCACTTGGAAGAGAGAATTAACATTCCATGCGGCAAATCGTATCCGTGGGCATGCAGGTGTCATCAACAAAAGATCAGTCCGGTTAACATTTTTGTTAAAACTGTTAATATTTTGAATATACGGCTGCATTAGGTGATTGGCCTAAAATAGCTTAGGTTGGTGACAGGGCTGCTGTCTTAAGCATTGAGATTGAAATTTTTTTGGATCGCGAAATAGGCCTTCAACCTAGCCCTTTGCTGCTCAGTTGCTTTAAACATTTTGTATTAGAGAAAGATGATAAAAACGGTTATTCCGTCGTATACTCGGACGCCAGAGCCTCGTCTGTGAAAACAGGAGGTGTTACGAAAAGGTGAGGTTGACATTTGAGCCAAAAAAGCTTTGTATTTCGCTGCTTCGACCCCTTACCGACCCCCAATAAGTAATTAAGGCACAATAATATTAAGTATAACAAGTAATTATTGATCTGGATGAAGATTATTAGAACTATTATTAAAAAAATGAATTGTTCTATTTCTGTGCGAGTAGTGCATATATGTTATATTTCTATCGCGCACTCAGATATGAGAATCTAAATTATGAAAACAAACTGTACAGTTTAAAAAGCAATTTTTTTTGAAAATTATATATATTTAGGTAGAGCATACATTGTGACCGAAAAGCTTCCGGAAATTTTAAATAAAACGCAAAATTCTTAATCTTCATCAATATTTATTTTATCTCCTTCAAAATATGCTCCATTAGAAGCGATACACAAATGCCAACGTTTCTTCCAATCATCAAAACATTTTATAGGCGCTTTCCGGTATGGCTTTGAGTTCCCTCTGCGAATTCTGTTTTACGTCTTCTATGGATTCAAAACGCGTTCCTCTGAGTGGTAATTTGAGGTTGGGAAACAGGAAAAAGTCACACGGTGCAAGATCAGGTGAATACGGTGGCTGTTCGATGGTATTTATTGAATGTTTGGCCTTAAAATCGTTGATAATGTTGAACAAATTGAGGTGAATCGGAACAAGCCGGGCGTTGACACGTCGCATACACAAATTGTCCACCAAAATCAAACGAGCCATCTCACGACCGATGCCTAGCTCTCGTGCTATCTCTCTAACACTCACATGAGGATTTTTGAACACGATTTCCTTTGCCTTTTCAATGTTTTCGTCGGTGGTAGAGGTCGAAGGTCGTCCAGAACGCGGCATGTCTTCGACGGTCGTACGACAGTCCTGAAAGGCTTTGTACCACTCATAAACTTGAGTTTTCGATAAAACTGATTCCCCATAAGCCTTTTGTAGCATTCGCAACGATTCTGCACACGAAATTTCGTTCGAAAAACAAAATTTGATGCAAACTCTTTGTTCAATATTTTTTTCCATTGTTTTTTTCGCAACGCACTACTGAGGTGAACTGGTTTCAACAGCTGCCGTAAACGAACTGTTGACAGATCGCGCTCATTTTTGGCATAGTAATTAAGGGACAGTGCTGCCAAACTACATAAACTTAAAATATCGAAAAATATACAGCGCGCGAATTTTAAATGAGAACCTCCGAAAACTTTTCGGTCACAATGTATATTGTCTCCGTATTATAACGTTGTAGTTACTGTTGTGGTTACAAGACTTTAAATAATTTTTTAATTTAACAAACCTAAATTATAACAGCTTAATATATTTATATATTATTTATATATTATTATTGCTAAGGGATCTGGTACTGCGATCGTCGGGTCCATTGTGCTCTCTTCTGGGGTTGCATCAATGAAAATTAATATAGAACCTATTTTACAGAGTCTTATTGCCTTTATATTGATGTAATATATATTCGCTTAAATAAACTTTTTTTTTCTACGTATATATAAATTATATTTTAAATAGATCAACGTAAACAGATAAAGTTTTAAAAATTTAGACTCGATATTACTATTTACTATATATAATAGTGTAGATACTTTCCAGATTTTTTACAGTAATATTTAAATATCAACCGAATCACTCTGTATATCTTATTAGTTTTACAATTTTACATTTTAAGTTCAAATATTACTAATAAAATATTTTTATTATAATCATACATAACGTTAAAATAATTTTATTATATATTCGTGATATTTTAGAAACTTAAAAAATTTAATTATTTTTTTACGTGAAAAACTTAGCATCACAGCTTAGTTTTAAAAACTTTTTCGAAAATAGTTTTATATACCTTTATTCTAAGTGTATTTTACTAAATTTGCATATCAGATTTATGATAATAGTGATACGTATATTTTCATATTTACGAATTACGTGTATTCGACATAATTTGATAAGCTAAAATATGCTGTCATGAATAAAATCTACAAAATTATTTTTTTTTTTGGGAAAAATAAATTTTAAACACATATTGTATATAAAAAAATATGAAAACAAAATGAAAAAATAATAAAATATTGTGTTGTTATATCTGCACATTTTTTCTAGTTTTGAAATTTGCATTAATCGTGATTTAACACGATTCACACTTTAGTTCCTTTGTTACTTCAAACGGCTTCTTAGTTAATTTTCTCATTGTTAAGTATATTCCCTTGGTTTAATGGCTACACATGAAATTGTAAAAATTCTATAACTATAAGTTCTTACTTCTAATAAGTCTGTTCCTTAATTAAACCCTGTTCCTTTCAGCAAAATCTTTGAGAAGATAAAGGCCACACTAGTTTTGAAGTCACTCGAGATGAGCTTAGTGCGAGGAGTGCTTATTTGCTGTCAGAGACAATATATATGTTTTTCCCCGTGGTGGGTTTCTCTTTATATTTCCTTAGACATATTTAAATTGCGTGTACTTGCGCTTCAAAAACCAAGTTTTCTGAACTCACACTCGCAAATATTTCCTCTTATAATTTAACTCCATGGGCGCCGCCCCCACTCATTCCATCATTTTGGAGCCTTTCGTATACCACAGATGGTAATATCCAACGGATCAAGATATGTGCAGTTTCCAGTCATTTTTGTCTGGTATTAGTATACGGAACTATTATGTTCACCAATTTTTTTTTAGGGTAGGTCGAAAGCATCACATTCTACAGTGTGAGACTTGTAGTCTTCAATTCTTAGTGAAAACTACCTCTTCGGAATGAGTTGAGAAGATCTCAACTCTTTTTTTTTGAGTTTTTTTTTTTTTTTGTGTTTATTTTAAATATTATTTTTATCCAAATGTTGCCATTTCTGCTTGTGTTTGCAATTGAGTATTTAATTCGATTATTTTGTTCCAATACATTTTTTTTTTAATAAAAGACAGTGATCTCACAATGTTTGGATTTTTAATTAAGATTGTAAATGTGGTTTGAGATTTCAATTAAGAAATATATGCTTCACTTTCTACTGACACTTCAATTAAGACACTTAAAAGCTTAATTGAAAGTGAGCTTAATGCATTATTAAATTTTTATTTCATTAAGATTTATTACAAATAGATATTTCCACAACAAATTTAATTAAGAAGTATTTATTTGCAAGCTGATATATACTTTTAAGATACAAAATCATTAAATTAATTATGTAGCAAATAGTGACAAATAACTACAGATGCAACATAAACGAGTACGTATTCATATATATTATTTTATATATATTTACTAGTTAAAAGATTAGATTGTTCGTTTGTAAATATTAATTTACTTAATTTAAACATAATTAAATAATTTAAGACTCAGCATAAAATATCTGTGGATCACCATTGCATTTTGTATTTGAAGTCAGTCTTCTGGGTGTTACTGGGTGTTAACACTGTCAAAGCTTTGACAATAATTATTTTCAAATTTTGGCTGCCAATAAAAATTTTTATACGTAAGTTTAAAGTTCTTAAAACAATCTTTCCAAAGTATAGCCAGTGTAAACACTGGGTTAAGAAAAGTGTAAGCAAGGTATGCTATGACATTTGTTTTCACTTTTAAAGAAAGGTATGATATATTGACGTGTGTAATGTCAAAAAAATAATTAGTTTGATTTTTCTTGGCTTTGATATTTTTCCAGTTTTTGTGTTCGTGATTATTTCAGAAACATTTACGTAAAATATATAATTATTTTGTGAAAATCACATATATTTTTATTTTTAATAATCCCTTTCGAATTATAAATATTTGAAAAACCAACTTTAGATAAATATCTACAAGATGTCATTTTCGGAAAAAAATGTAAGTATTAACTATATGAAATATATTCTGTTCAAAAGTCTAATAAAATTTTAATATATTATATCACATAGATCAATAAGTAATAAGCTTTGTAATTATTTATACATCTAAGTATATATACTCTTCCGGATTGATTGTTTGGGAAGATTGTATGGTTAGGTTACGGTTACGATACACTGAAAGACAGTGGTACATTGGTTGCTCCGCGGTATTTTGCTACTGCGTTTAGCATTCTACGCTCATTATACTTATGATGTGATATCTGACCTCAGTCAACTTTTTTGTATGAAGTTTATTTAGTACAATACATAATATGCTCAACTTATAAGTGGTTTTCTTATTGCTTGATAATACCATTTTTACGTTTCATATGACTTTTAAATCTTACTCCTCGACCTAACCTATTGGCAAAAGTGCAATTGTGCAGTGCATTTGAACCAAATCGAAAATTATGGTGGTCTATAAATATTGTATTTCTTTTAAACAGTTGTTTGCTCTAAAAGTTCGTTTAGTATCAGAAAGTTTAGTGCGGTTTTACACAATTTCAACGAACCTAAGGCTATGTTATGCAAACAGTCATGATTGTATCAAATGTGAAATTTGTTGTGATGTTCAATATACCTAAAATATTAAAATTGAGTTGTAGTATTACTATGTCTCGCAACACAAGTCTAAACAGTGTTCATTATCATCATCAATTACTGTATATCTCATTGGAGCATAGGGCCTCAATATTCCACTTTCAACTGGTTGTATTTTTCTCCAATATCTTTAGCTCGTTACACGTTTTTCCGGACTCTATGATTTTCTTTTGTAATGTTCTCCATATGTTTTATAGACGTCCTCTCTTACGGTTGTCTTGAGGGGTTTATCAATATATTTTTTTTCTATTCAAGTAAAGTATGCCGTGGTTTTTTTTTTAATTTAAAGCAAGTTATGCTTATGATATGATATAAGCATAACATGACTTCAAGATGTCACGACTGGAAAAGGCTGTAAGTATGAGTTATATCCTTTATGCTTTAATGAAAACCAGGAAATTTCTATACAAAAAATTTTATAGATATATTTTAATTCTGCAAAATAGGTTTTTCGTTTTTGTATTAACGATATTTAAATAGTTTGAAAGTAGTTCTGTGAATAATAGAATAAAGAAAATAATCATTGTAGTGTTATATTGTAGTGTCCGGTACTAATTAATCGGAGTGGGAGAATATAATGCTGTCTTGTTAACATTATAAGCTAAGTCACCCACCTAGTCGATACGAGGTTTTATTATAAATCTTGAAAGAAACTATTTTTTAGTGCCAATTATTTTAAAGATTATTTACTTGAGCATATCTTTTTTATCAATCATATTCGCCATATTACTGTACAAAACGAAGGTTGCCATATCTTTGAAAATATGAAGTATTTCAAAACTTTGTTTCCTAAAAAATCATGCCCATGGTTTTATGAAACTATACTCCCTTAATTTCGTTATTTAGATGACAGTTTTTTGTTTTGGAAAACAAACTATCATGAGCGTATCGCATGTTAACATCGTATACCGGTTTATGAACTTCTTATATTATATACATCGTATACCGGTTTATGAATTTCTTATATTTAAAGATTTCATTTTCAAGGCGTTTAACTATCTTACATATTTGTGATGTACTTTTCTGGAGGAAAATTAAAGTTTCTTTTTTTTTCTCTTCCAAAATAATATGTTTTGACCATATAGTGTTATTGACACATTTTAGTAAAAACAAGTGGTAATCATTGATAAATGTTTACTTTAACGAAAGGCAATCTATGCCAATTTTATGGTCTAAATATGAAAAAATTGTTATCGCCAACTTTGTGGTGGATTTTGCAGTGTTCGCCCTCTTTAGACCTAGTTTTATCTATTCAAATCTATGTTTATACTTCTATTGTACTAATCAATTGATATAGAAACGTAGTTCTGTACACAGTTCTATTTATAGCTGACATTGAAGACACATTACGCTTATTTGTTGATAACTTTTCTATAGTCCATTTTGTATGTAAATTGTGATAGGTATATGATATACTTAGGACTTCAACTAGCATCTACACTTTTACTCGTTGATTAGTTAATACAACTATTACCTGATAAGAAAGTATTGTGATATAATAACGCAATTCCCCTTTCGGGATTTTGTTTTGTGAAAATTTATTGCCCTTATATAAGATATGGCTCCGTAGAATACAATCAGAAATATATATTGGGTGTTCAACATAGCTGTTCGAATTTCTAAGACACAGGGCATAACTTTTTACTAAACATTCTCTCTTCTTTTTTACTAAAGAAATTACTCAAAAACATTTAATAAGGAAATAATTCTGGAAATGTTAATATCTGAATTCTGTCTTCAGAAAAAAAAATAGGGTGGCATTTCTTTATTAAAACTCAAGTGCAGTATGCTTTGATTTTTATTTTTGAAAATTAATCGAAATATATTTCGGTCTAAAAAATATTTGACAGATATCATTTAGTTTTTTTTTATTGTATGTGTTGTTGCCCAGTTTTGTGTGCTCGTAAAGGTTCTCCGAAATATATTTTAAGATAATTTTTTCTTTAAAATATATTCGCGAGTGATTAATTTTAATACATCACACATATTTTTGGCTTAAATTTAATTACAATAAATAATTTGTCTATCATTTTCTGAGAACGAGTACCGTAAGATGTCAGGAAAAGAAGTAAGTACAGACTTATATGTAATATAATAGTTTCCAATTTTTTTCCAATATTTCTTGAACTCTTGATAGTTAGTATATCTATTTCTCGTGTGTTATTAGTCTTAATTATTTTACATTCAAATCTAGAATTCTGTCTTGCTGCATATTTTGATAATGATAATATTAAACGCTTTACAATATTTAATAAGAATTATCTAACTATTTGTTCATTCGTTTTGGTTGTCTGAAGAAAATAAGTTCCTTTGCTATTCTGTAGGTTATCTTCTTGAGCCTATCGATTTTGACAAATTTTTCCAAATGTACATTTACATTTATATTGTTGTATGAGTGAGCACTCATACCAGTGCAATATTACACTTTATCTTTATTAAAATTTTTCTTTAATTGAGTAAATAAAAAATTCCAATTCAAGCTTGCGATAGATATAGATCCATACGCATTTTCATACAGAAAAACCCACACACATATCAGGTATAGAAAATAATTAAGAATTTTGAAATACTGCTTTTATATACGGGTTGTCCAAAGAGTTTCAAGAACGTCCAAAAAACATAAATCGCATAGCAGCGTGCTCCGGTTTTAATAAATACCGAAATGAAGGGTGTCAAACAAAACTTAACTCGAAAAAAGCAATTAGTTGTAACATTTGCCGTTTTTTAATAATTGATTTTCGAAATACCTTATGTCCAATTTATTATCTACTACCTTTATTTAATAAAGTGGGTTCAGAAGTTAACGCGGTTTAATATTAAAATAGAGAGTTTATTTCCCTGCTAACTTTTTTTCTCAAAAATTTTCAACATACTAATTCTAGTCCTTACATTCGCGCGCTTAAACTTTATATAAAACTCCAAATAAGTTTAATGTGGAACAATGTCCAAAAGTTTCACACAATTTGGGCATTGTAGAAAATTTTTTCATAGAGTTTTATACCAATTTTTGGTGCGCAATAGATGTTAGTACTAAGCACTCTTTACTTGCCATCGCTTGCTTATCGAAAAAAAGAAACAAAAAGAAAAACAATAGGTAAAATAATATCGTATATCCGGTTACTCATAACAGTGTGCTATAGCCAGTACCAGCACTAACATAAATAAACAGTTTTCTGAATCCGTAATCTTGATATGAATCGCCGTACCTGTAGACCTCTTTGCAAAATTATAAAACAATTGAAATAACTTCACAAAATCAATATGTCTGTAGACTGGTGCTCTACCGAATGATTTTTTTCTCTCACTACAGGTATGAAAAGGATAAGAAAGTCAATTTTAACATTTATTGTCACTGTTAGTGCTTGGTTTACGTTCTCAGTGAGTTTCTAATCAAAATATTTTTATCGTCGCTGTTCATTTGAAATTATAAAACCAATATGTATCGAGCAAACGGTACCATCAATATGACTTTAAAATGGATAAGAAATTGCAGCAAGAGAAATTTTATTCGAAATTTAGGATCTGCTATTTATGTTCGTAAATATAGTACAGATGCAACTGAACAATTTGCAAATGGCGCAACTGCTGCCTATATTGAGGAAATGTACAAGTCTTGGTTGAATGATCCAAAATCAGTACATGAGTCTTGGGATGCCTACTTTCGTTCCAATTCATATACAGCGGTAAATAAAAACTTAAAGCCATTGTCAGCAATACTTCATCGTAGAGAACCTGATGAAAAAACAATTGACGATAATTTGGCAGTGCAGGCAATTATCAGAAGTTATCAAATTCGGGGACATAACATTGCTCGCGTCGATCCACTTGAAATTAATGATACTGATGTTCCTGATAAAAGAACCACAAAAGCTATTTATGCTAGTTTCAATTTTGATGAAAGTGACATGGAACGTGAATTTAAATTGCCTAGTACAACGTTTATTGGCGGTGATCAGTCCTCCCTATCATTGAAGGATATTTTAAGTCGCTTAGAGAATGTGTACTGCAATAAAATTGGTGTGGAGTTTATGTACATAAATTCATTGGAACAACGTAACTGGATCAAAAAACGCTTCGAGTACCCAGGTGTGATTGATTTTACACCTGTGAAGAAGCGTTTAATTTTATCGCGCTTGATACGTGCTACTGGATTTGAAGATTTTCTAGCAAAAAAATACTCTTCGGAAAAACGTTTTGGTTTAGAAGGTTGCGAAATAATGATTGCTGCATTAAAAGAGATTATTGATGTTTCAACTGATTTAGGTGTGGAATCTATTATAATGGGTATGCCACATCGTGGTCGTTTAAATACTTTAGCTAATGTCTGCAGAAAACCATTAGAAAAAATATTTAATCAATTTGCTGGCTTAGAAGCTGCTGATGATAGTTCCGGTGATGTGAAATACCATTTGGGCACATATATTAATCGTTTAAATCGTGTTACGAATAAAAATATACGTTTGGCAGTTGTTGCTAATCCATCTCATTTAGAAGCTGTAGATCCTATTGTACAAGGCAAAACACGCGCTGAGCAATTCTATTGTGGTGATCAGGAAGGCAAAAAAGTGATGTCAATACTTTTGCATGGTGATGCAGCCTTTTGTGGTCAAGGTGTAGTTTACGAAACAATGCACTTGTCTGATTTGCCAGATTACTCAACGCATGGTACCATACACTTAGTTGTGAATAATCAAGTTGGTTTCACCACCGATGCAAGTTCCGCTCGCTCTTCGCCATCTTGTACTGATGTCGCACGTATTGTCAATGCACCTATTTTTCATGTCAACGCAAATGAACCAGAAGCAGTTATGCATGTCTCCAAAGTTGCTGCTGAATGGCGCGCTGCATTCCACAAAGATGTTGTCATAGATCTGGTTTGTTATCGTCGTAATGGACACAATGAAATTGATGAACCAATGTTTACTCAACCATATATGTACCGGAAGATCGAAAAAATGAAGAATTGCTTAGATTTGTATGCTGAAAAACTTATCGGTGAAGATGTTGTCACACCTGACGAGGTTAATACTATTTCTGCTGAATACCAAAAAATTTGCGAAGAAGCTTTCGAAAATGCAAAAAAGGAAACATACATTAAATATAAAGACTGGCTTGATTCGCCTTGGTCTGGCTTCTTCGAAGGTAAAGATCCATTGTTAGTTTTACCAACTGGCGTCAAAGAAGAAACGTTGGTATACATTGGTAATAGATTTTCTCAAATACCGGCTGATTTCGTTATTCATAAAGGTTTATTCCGTATATTGACTGCACGCAAAGCAATGGTTGATGAAAAAGAAGTTGATTGGGCGCTTGGTGAAGCAATGGCTTTTGGTTCTTTACTTAAAGAGGGCATACATGTCCGCTTATCTGGTCAAGATGTAGAACGTGGAACATTTTCACATCGGCATCATGTGCTGCATCATCAGCTTATTGATAAAGTTACTTATAACAGCTTACAGCACTTGTATCCCAATCAAGCACCTTACTCAATAACAAACAGCTCTCTGTCAGAATATGCTGTATTAGGTTTTGAACATGGCTACTCAATGACAAATCCAAATGCTTTAGTTCTCTGGGAGAGTCAATTTGGTGATTTTGCGAATACCGCGCAGTGTATTATTGATCAGTTTATATCTAGTGGGCAAGCCAAATGGGCTCGTCAGTCTGGTTTAGTTATGCTGTTACCTCATGGTATGGAGGGTATGGGCCCAGAACATTCATCGGGCCGCATCGAACGTTTCTTGCAAATGTCATCTGATGATCCCGATTATTTCCCACATCCAAGTGATGAATTTTCTATACGTCAATTACACGATATTAACTGGATTGTAGCTAATTGTACAACACCTGCAAACTATTTTCATATATTACGACGTCAGATTGCTTTACCTTTTCGCAAACCTTTAATCTTAATGACACCAAAATCGTTGCTAAGAAATCCAGAAGCAAAAAGTTCATTTAGTGAGATGATTGATGGCACTAAATTTCAACGTGTTATTCCAGATAGAAAATTACCTGTTCAAAATCCCGATTTAATTAAAAAAATTGTTTTTTGTTCGGGTAAGATATATTATGATTTAACACGAGCACGTGCTGAAAGAAAACTTGAAATGGAAATAGCGCTCGTTCGTGTGGAACAGATTTCACCATTTCCGTTCGATTTAATTAAAGAACAAGGATATATCTATAAATTTGCTAACCTTATTTGGGCTCAAGAAGAACATAAAAATCAAGGTCCTTGGAATTATGTGAAACAACGCTTTTTAACAACATTCAAACACTTAAGAGATATCCAGTATGTTGGTCGCCCTTGTAGTGCTTCAACAGCAACTGGTTCCAAAGTTCAACATGTTCGTGAATTAAATGATTTATTGAATGATGCCTTATCCATTTAAGTCATCAAATACCACAAATAAATAAAAACATTTTAAAGATTTTTACTATTATTTAATGTATTAAATAACTAAGTAGTTCACAAATTCTTTTTTTTTAATTACTGGAAAGAGGATTGCCTTTTTTTTATATCAAACTGCTCCACTTAGTCTCTATAACTGTACTTATATCTATACTTTTTTGGCGATGGATTTTTTTTTGAAATAACATATCTTTCATAACTTATGTGGAAAAAAAATAGATCTGTATGTAATTGATTATCAATAAAAATCTGCTAAAACGAAGCGTGTGGTTAAGACGCCTATCGCTGCCAGAAGATGGTCTCACTAAAAGCAGATATTCTTCAGCTCTTTAAATTAATATATGTAATTTGTATATAATGGCATACATCATAGGGGTATTCACTCTCTCTTGCAAACTCATTGCAAGGTGCACGAAATGCACAGATTGTACGAGAATGCAAATAACAACAAAATACACGCACAAAATTTCGTGCAATTGCGTGCAATCTTCCAATGCTGAAACCTATGTATATTTGCTTGCAACAAACCAGAAATGGCGGAAATCAGTTGTTTTGTCATTTGTTGCTTCTCATTTTTAAATTTGAATTGACTGTTAGTAAAATTTCGAGATATGTTAATCTATGGCTATGCTATATACATGTGTTTCGTTCAATAATTTAAATCGATGTGACCATTAATTAAGTTTTCACAAATATAATATTATATACATATACATTTGTGAATTAATTTATCTATTTATCAATTTCAGCGAAACTTACGAAAATTTGTTCACATTTTGAACTATTGAATGAAGTGTTTGGACGCATGTCTAATTTTGTACGGAAACATTGCCATAGCCACCAACTAGTTCTGCGCTAGGCAACGAAGTTTTTTTTATTGAATCGTCTGCAGACAACACATCATCCAGCTCTGCACCGAAAGTCGTGCGTTCTGCTGTGCAAAGCCCCACTACCCCCCTCGATAAAAAATATAACAAATAACAATAATAAATTGAGAATTAGTTATATTTTTATTATAACAATTATTTTTATATTATATTATTATTACATATATCTCCAACAACAAATAATGTAGCGACTTTACGAATAGCCGCATTTTCGCCTGATGAACCCAAACGATATAAAACAATAGCAATCCTTAATAGTTTATTAGTGAGACTATTAAGGAAAATACGTTCCAATTTACTCTAAGCATCTGACAAAAACGGCCTTCATCAAATTCTTGAAGAATGGTAGATCTCCATTGAATAGATTTTGGTACGGGTTGGTGATTTCTGTGATGGTTTACTAAAGTAAACAAAAGGTCTTCATTTAATTGCTCCATCACTTCCCAGTAATTTGCATCATCTAACAAATAGAAACTATATAGTAGTGAAAACTACATTAACAACATGTTAATACCTTCAATCAGAATATTAAAAGCACTATTTTCAATAAAAAAATCTATACATTTTTGTATTTCACTTGTTCGCGGCATTGTTATACTTTTATTTTTCTTTGCTCAATTTGATACGGCTGCAAAACAGCTGATTCATTTTGATGATGCAATTCTGCAACAGAGGTGTTCTCGCAGTCTTGCAGTTTTTGTATAGCATTCTTGCATTTCGTGCTCCTTGCAATGAGTTTACAAGAGAGAGTGAATACCCCTCATGTTTTATAATTTTGTTTGCACTTTTGTTTTTTCACTTTAAACGGTTAGCATCTTATCTTGAATATATCGCCTTCACTATTTTTTACCAGCGGTGAACATATAATGACTTGATTCACTTGCTTGTAGAGTCTGTTATTCGATATCTGTTAAAAACTCACTACCTAAACGATTGTAAGTTATATTAGATCTTGTTGGGTAGTGTAACATGTAAGCGCATTACTCATCGACAAGCACTAAGTAAACTACATAAACAATGTACTATTTGATTAATTTAATTAATTTTTCGTGTTGATAAATTTCATTTTGATGAATTGGATTTACGTGTGATTATGTGTTTGTTGTTGATACTTTGCTTTTTTAATAAATTTTTGTGCCCATCACTGATTTATAATATAGAAACTTTGATAATTTTGTTTTAAATTTTTTGAGTTGTTGCGTCGAATATAAAAGTTCAAGTTCAGAAAAAACAAAACCGACTTTAGAAAAGACTAGTCGTAGAGTAGTGCTTAAAAACACAATGTTTTAATTTACCATTAATTCACACAAATTTCACAATCGATTAATTTTGAAGTTATCTTCAATTTATTTAATTTCTATTAAGTTTCATGATATCTTGACCAATAATTAATACAAAACTACTTCATGGTGGTGTTAATTATGGCAATGCTGCTCCATTCACCATTAGAAAACTTTAAACTTATCAGAATATTGACATTTGTACCTAATGTATTATATAATATGATTATTAGCATTGATTACTAGTATTGGGGCTTTCTTGGTAAACAAGGCCGCCACTCCAACCTACCTACCTACCTAGTATTGGCAGCACACCTATAAGTGTACAGATATGTATACTGAAAGCTCCATGCTACATCAGTAATGAAGATATATACAAAGGCTTGAGAGTTGAGAGTGTGCAAAAGTATTATATATTATATATGAAAGATAATTGTATTAATGTTTACACTAACTCGGAATTGCACTTTTTTTAAATCGTATGCACAGAGCTAAGCTCTGAGAAAACTTTTCGAGGTACTATGGTACATTAAAACGAATGACATCCTCAAGGACCTCAACATTGATCCGATCAAAAAATACATAAAGGATAGAGCCCTGAAATTATTTACGAAAACTGTCAGGCTTACCAACAGCGCGTTATCAAATCTCAGAATGGTTACAGGCTCTTTGGGGAGATCAATTATTACTTACTTTCATGAAATGATAAACAATAATCCAATTAAGGCGTAGAGAGGGGTTATTAGGAAACCTCGCAGTTAATAGAGAGTAAAAGTGCTCAAGTACACTGACTTAACTAGCCTCAACATAATATTATATATCTTTAGGGAGATATGCTGTATTTTGAATTGTATTTCTCTAAATTTATTTGAATAACTCATCAGAATTCAACGAAGTTCATGTTAAGTGGATCATCCAAGTGCCAAAAAAAAAAAATGAAAAATCTTAAGCGGTAGTTTCCTCTATTGACGAGTTTTTAATTACTGATAATGTGGCTAAAAGATATATATCTGCGCACAATTTAGTGTGAAGTGAATTGCAGTCTATTGTATATATTGTATATATATTTGGAATTGTGTAAGAAAGCATAAAGTTTTGTAATGCCATGCCTATACAATCATGCCATTCGGAAGTTATTTAACCAACTAACCAACCGCACTATAAAATTAAATTAAAACTTACGAAAAATACTGACTAAATTGGTTAGTTGGCCTTTCTTTTCAAACCATCCTCTATCGTGTACGAATAATAAATTAAAATTTGCTAAAAATAAAATTAAAAATAAATTTGTTTTAAGAAATGTTCAACATCAAAGTGCATTCAGCGCCGCGCCAACTGCACATAGGTGTCAAAAGTACTATATATTGCCAATCCTTATGCGGTCGTGCGGTTTATATTAACGAAAGAATTCGGTGGAACACACCTCGAGAAGGAATAGGAGACGTACTTTTCGTTTGTGAAAAACTTCCAAATGACATGCAAAGTTCAAGTAGCGCCGTTTGCACGCTAACACAAAATCGCTACTTTGTTGCCACTACCTGAGTCCCGCATTTGTCTTGTCGTACAAGTGTGTGGAACGCCTTGGAGCAGTACATCGAGTAGACACACTTCCACCAAATCTAATAACTCTAATAGCAAATCTTTTAATTGTCTTCGATTTGAGTTAATTAAGCTGTGCTCCGTGTGCGAATCTCCTTTTTTTTCTCTTCTTTTTTCTTCGTTGGAGTTTTAGCTAATTGCTTTTAGACAATTTTTTCTGATATCATAAATTTTTATTTAATTTTATTGAATTTATCTTTCCAACCAATTATTGATAATTAACCTAAATTGTTTTGCAATTCTCTAAACAGCCAGACTTAAATGTTTTGCTTACGTTTGCATTTTTTTGTATTTGCCGTATTTTTCAGATACTTTTTTTAACTATGTTAGTAAGAGTTTTGCTTGCTGTTGCCTTTGTTGGCATACTTTAAGTCCGCAAATATAGGTAAGCCAGTAACTTTAACGATGCAAACTTTGTATCTAGCCATTATAGTTCAGACTCGACTAAAAAACTTCAACGTATTTTTAATTTTTCATTAAAAGCCTATAAAATAAAAAGAAATCCATTAAGTTCCGTATTTCAGTGGAAAGTCTCGGCCCGACGTCACATATTTTTTTCAGCCAACATAAATATTTCAATTTGTTTATAATTTTTCTTTTTTTTTAAAAATTTTTTAATATTTTTTCTGTTTATTTTTATTGTTTTTTAAATTTTAATTTGTTTAATTTTGTGTAAAAGAATTTTTTAAATAAAAACTTATGTCAACTGAAGTACTGAATTAATACCGTGGCACTTGATATGAATTTAATATTTTAATGAAATTAATGTAAATATGCAAATAATGATTTATATCTAGATCTCCTTTTACTTATGTTATTTATTACATAGAGAGGTTTCGAGATAGTAAGAAATCTACAACAACAAAAATTGATTTGTTTCGAGTAGTGCCAAATACCCATCATCAATGTTCTTGGAATTGCTTCCCATATTTAATTATTTACAAATAATTTTTTGAAATTGCAAGTACCACGAATTGCACTCGTGCCCTGCCAAATTTGAAGCTAAGAGTCAGCATTCATTAGCCAACGGACTTGTATGTATGCACTTTTTTTCTGGAGTTTTGTTAATTCGCTGCTGTTTGTTTATTAACAAATTCACTTGCTGTTTCATTTTAGTACGAAATCCTAAACCAGCAGTAGAATAATTGAATTAATTAATTATATTTATTTTTAATTGTTAAATTTCAATACTGTTCTAATATACGTTATTTATTGTATATCAACATGATATATTATTATCATAATATATGTTCTATCATATCTGTTATTAAAGAAAGATAGAGGAAGTTGAACATAAAGAAAGATATAGACCATTTTTATGTGGAACAATTATGTGAACCTTTTTTAATATCGAATACATGAAATTTTTCCTATTACTCCACATTATATATCTATGTTGAATTCAAACGTACCATATATCCCTCAATATATTTTGGACATTCATCGAATTAATTGTGTAATTCAGGACTGTTCAAAACATGAGCCGCAGGTTTCATACGACCCGCGGTTAATATTTGTGCTAATATATTTCTAATCCACCACAATTTGGCAAAATTTTTTTTGAAGGACTACTAAGCTTAAGTTGACATTTAACAAACAATACTCGTTATTTTTTGTTTTCTTTGTACATAGATTTTGCATATATATTGTTGCTCTTTCTACTCTTGCATTTGAGCCCGTTAAAAATATATAGTGATGTGTACGTTATGTTCAATAAAATCATTATAAAGATTATATTTAATTCAGATATGTTGATATATTTTTTTTATATAAAATCAGCTACTTTTACTATTCACTGATATAATATGTATTGTTTTGTATCTGATTTTGTCATAGATATGTTTATCTTCTAAAAATAAAGTTCTACAAAATTCAAATGCTGAATTATTTATTTATGATAAAATATAATTTAATTAAAAATGTTAAACATACTATTACTTTTAATTAAACAAAATAATTTTAAGCAATCTGATAAGGATTATGTTTCACCACGTGATGAGAACAACTGTGATAATGATACCACTAACCATGCTTCTAACTACTTCTCGTGCAATACAAATAATATATCCGACGATTCTGAATCAGAGTACTATTCCACTGAACCACAAACGGAAAATGAGCAATTTTCTTCCACGTATGACTCTAAGAAATCAAAAAATAGTGGTTTATATGATTCAGATATGGATTATAACTCAGCTGAATCACAATCTGAATTTGAATCGTCTGAAACGGAGTGTGATTCAGCTGAATTCTCTTTCCATTCAGCTGAAGAACTGACCGAATATGAAATTATTCCATCTAATTCCTGCTATGAGATTGCCAGCCTACACCCATCTCCAAGTGGTATGGAGTGTGGAGATGCTGTAAATATTTTCTTGTTTCTATAAACTTGATATTTTATTTTTCTTTAAAAACTTTTCAGTTCAGTAAAGTATGCTGTGATGATCTTTTTATGCAAGCTAATGTAAGTAAAAAAATTAATAGTGCTTAACCAAAGTAATTGCTCTAAATCTCAATTAAAGCTGCAGACCGGCTTCGAAGTTGTATTTGGAGATATATGGGTTAGTTGGGCAACTAATGGTCTGTTTAATGTAGTTGCAAAAGTTATGATGGGCACCTGGGAGGAGGACAATCAGTTTAGTTATTCAATGTATGAGTTTTACGAGAACGGTTTCTTTGCTGAGGAATTTGTGGCACAAATTATTCATTATAGGATTGCAATTTTTGTGAGTACAAAAATATTGTTTGAAAAATTGTTAAAAGGATACGTAAGAAATGGCATCACTTATAATTTTTCGTTTTGTGTTTAGATTACTCCTTTCTCTTATTCTGAATATGTGTACACAGAATATTATCCTGATGACGACATTTATATGACTTCCGTCGGAAATTCAATAAGTGTTAGCATTAAACGTAGGATAGGCACAACTCAATCAAATCCTCGTATATGCAGTTCAATGAGTGACATGAGTGTAAGTAATATGATAATACAATTGATAAAAAATTGGAAAAAAAATTATTTTTTGATTTAGAAATTCGAATATTCTTCATATGTAAATCTTGACTGTGATGCACATGCCACAAATGATATTGCTTTTGAAGTATTGGGGAATTTTCAGAATAGTACGCTATGTACTGATGTTGTAATGGAAGAAGTGGACGTGGAAGAAACTACACTATCTGATATCCACATTCAAACAGTTTCTGATATAGATGCAGAGACACATGATAACGCACGAACAGACTTTATTGATTTAGAAAGTGGTGGTAACGTAGAACCTACAGCAATGACAGAGGTCACAGACGCGACAAAATCTTGCGTTAGATTAGCGTCTTATGTTAATCTAAGCACAAATGTTAAGTTTACTGAAGATAATGCTAGTAATAATGATAATATTCTTTATGATTCTGAAATACAAAATGGCATAGAGTTCCCAGAAGAGATTGAAGTAGTTCCATCAGTAAAATTTAATATTACCAACTATCAACCACATAAAGAACTTGAAGAACGTATTGTCTTGCAGTCAATTGAGAAATTAGAGCCAAGACACTCACACACATGTATTGAAAACACTGATATGTTTAATGATTTTGGTAAACAAAATGTCCCAGAGTTGATTGAAAATCTCGCCATCAATCATCGTGATAAATATCGTGTGGACCCATCTATACATAAAGAATTTGCCGATAAAATTGCCTTCGAGACAGGTAGAAATCTCGAAATGAAACCAAGTGTCAGTAAATATTATATTGATCCATCTATACCTAAAGAATTTGTTGATCAAATTGCCTTCGAGCCAGATAGAAATCTCGAAATGAAACCTCCAAGTGTCAATAAATATTATATTGACCCATATATACCTAAAAAATTTGCTGATCAAATTGCCTTCGAGCCAGATAGAAATCTCGAAATGAAACCTCCAAGTGTCAGTAAATATTATATTGATCCCTCTATACCTAAAGAATTTGCTGATCAAATTGCCTTCGAGCCAGATAGAAATCTCGATACGAAACCTTCAAGTGTCAATAAATATCATATTGACAAGCAAGGTGTACCTAAAGAATTTGCCGATCAAATTGCCTTGGAGGCCGGTAGAAATCTCGAGATGAAACCTCCAGATGACTGTAGTTTTCACAACAAGCATATTCGATTGGAGAAAACTTCTACTGATGTATATAGTGTTAATGGAAATCATACAAGTGATGAATGTGAGGGACAAAATGTTCTTAAAGCATATGGACGGCTCGATCCAACCGTTACAGATAATAATAATTTTGATCAGAACGACTTGAGCAACAAATGTAAAAATCAAGATATCTTAATATCAAAACCACAGGTAAATAGATTTAAATATTTTTATTTATGCAATTTTAATTTTAAAACGCAACCTATCAATAATACATAGACTGCACCTAATACACCCCGTCCATTTGTAAAGAGCAAAGCGATTTGGCCCCAAAAATGTCTTTATATTTATAAAGATGATAATGAATTAGGTAATGAAAATTTTGAAAAGGTTGAGAATAAAAAGTTTATGCATGAACAGGTAAGCAAAATATATATTATTTGTGTATTGAGTACTTTTTCTATTTCATATAAAACTTATAGAATTGCTGGGAAGAAGTTAATAATATACAATATAATAAAAACGATGTAAGGCTTAACTCTCAATCCTTTAAAGACCAGGATATATCATCAAATTTTGAACGTATGGAAATGTGCTCCGAAAGAGCCTGTCCCGTAAATTCATATCAGTTTAATAAAATGAATAGATATGTAAACTCTGTAGATCCAACTAATTTTCAATATCAAGCATATCCAATAACAACAGAGACACATTACAAAGATTGCAAAAGTGCTGTTTCTAATTGTACTAAGGTGATTATTAACTAAAAATGAATTTTAAATAAACATTTTTTGGTTTATTCGATGTATATATCGGTTGAAAATTTATTCAGTGCACCCATTATAAAATATGCTATTGTATCTCGTAAGATATTTAATGCTACTTTTAAATAAAATGAATTCTCATGATCAAACTGAAAGTATAGTATACACGGTACTCAGAAACCTATTTGACCGCATTGCCTGATCAGAACACAATTTTTAATACGATTATCCGAATACTATCCGGATATTGTATACTGAATAAATTTCCAATCGGTGTTTTTTTGTGATCATCACATCACTTACATTGTAGTGGATTTCAATTTAAATGGTTTTTTTTACCAATATATTGTAACTGTTGTATTTGTTTGAATTAGTTACATGATAGGAGTAAAGTACCAGAAGAACAAAGTGATCTTCCATACGAAGAAAAACCATATTGGCATTCTCCACGCTATAATTATAAGGTATAGAATATATTGTACATTAAAAGCATTTAAGGTGATATTAAAAAATTTTCCAATTTAAAGAGTATTTCACAGTGTCAGCTATATTCAGCGGACTCAGAAACAATGTATATATTACCTGGCATATACGATCCTAGTATAGAAAAAGAGGACTTACCATTGCTATATCCACATTACGACGAAATAGAAAATGCATACGCAGATCAAACATTTACTGCTGCTGAAAATGATTACTATTATTCTCAGAATGACAAGGTGACCGCACATAATCGATTTACTGATAGGAATAATGAGGTAACTAAAAAAAAATAATAAAATAATAATACTGTCTGTACTCATATACCATGTATTTTTGAAATACTAAGCAATATTTACAACCAAGTCCTCAACGTAATAATCGTCTACAAAACGAAAATTTTACACGAAACCTAAATGATACAAAGAGTATATGCACTATATATAGAAGGAAGGAAGAAGAACATAATGATTATGATACACAAGTACTTCCCACAGTTCAGCAGACTGACTGTATAGATGAAAACAAAAATAATGAATGTTATAGTAAACCGGTAGTTATTAAATATATAAGAAGTTATGTATTCTTTTTAAGGTATAAAGAAATAATAATCTCCATAGGGTACAGGTCATGCAAATAATGTGCATTCTACTGCATGTGTTGAACGCCAAGCATCTCATAAGTCATATGCAGCCTCATTAGAGCAAAGGGAATATTCACAGAAACATATATCTGCCACGTTACCTTCAGACCAAAGAACTGCTTGTAAAAATCTGTCGCAGCCATCGTTTTCCACTGAAAAAAGATGCCCCAAATCGTATAAATCCTATAAATCAATAAATAATAACAGTGTTAGTATTTTAGTCTAAAAACTATATTTTTTTATATATAAAAAGTAGTCGTTTTAATATTAAAAATTTTTAATATTAAATAACTTAATCACAGCCACCAATGGATAAACATCCAAATTATGGACAGTGCCCTGTCAATGTACAGTCAAAGTCACATGCTTGTGGTTATAATAAATCTGATATCTTCCCCTCATCTGAGAAATTGAAGTGTGCTACTAATCATACCTCGAGCATATTGCCATCCTATAAACAGATTGAGTGTGTGTATGAGGAACAGGACTTAAATGTGCAGCAGAAAATGGTGGGTAGATATAAGTACAACATATTAAAGAATTAAAAATATAATTCATACAATTATAAACATAATTCACCTTGTCGTATGCAGTCTTTTGTAAAACAATCAGAATCCAAATGTGAAGACAATGTAGCTCAGAATAGTCTCTTTAAAGTTTTGTCAGATTCAAGACATTTGCAAAATGATAGTTTCTCGGCTACCAGTTCATTGGAAGAAGACACGGATTCTGAGTGTGAGCAATCGTCCGAAAGCAATCATAAAAAAAAGGTGACTACAAAAAAAAAGAAAAATACATATATACTCATATATATAAAAAATAAATATATAATATATTAATAATAAACATTAAAATATCAAGCGTCAAGCAAAGAAGCGCACTCGCTATAATAAAAAGTTTAGCAAGAGGATGAAAGCAAAATTTGATAAGAATAAGCATATGGATCAGCAATCCACTTCTGGAATGGAATCTCCAATTTCAGATTTACTACGGAATTTAAATGTACTGTTTTGTTAATGTCTTTGTATCTAATAACTTCTAATAGATATATTGTTTCAAAAATATTTAGTTATCAGAATGTGATGATTCAAAAGATGAAAGCAATGAAAAGAACCTGAAAAATAAGGAATATTATAATCAGTATCGAGAAGAATCATGCTCTAAACTTGTTAGCGGTATGCCATGTGTTAACCCATCCTTTGCGCGCATCATAACTCCCTGGATAAATAAATCAAATCAAGTTAGGACGAATATAGAACATTCTGACAAAAAAGCCCTAAAAAGGTCACATTTATATATATATCTAAAATCATATACATATATGTTAACATATGTATGTTTTTATATTATTTATTTTTAGCAAGCAAGAAAAACGTAAAAGTAATAAACCACCTCCGAAGAATAAAGAGAAGAAACCGAAAATGAGCCCCCAATTAATTATTTGTACTGTAAATGAATGTAGAGAAAAATTGACTGATAATATGTTCTTATCGCATTGCATTGAGGATCATATTTGGGAGAATCGAAAATTCCTTAAAGAGGTTTTCCTTGATGAAGAAAGTCATTTTAAATTAAACATGTCTAAGATGTGTTTTGGTGCGCAAAAAACTATTCGAATTTTATTGTATGGTGGACGTGCTGGTGAAGAAAATACTTTACCAGGAAAGCGTTCGTGCTCCATACCAAATTTAGGATTAAAGGATCAATATTGCTGCTTTAAATATCATCTACCTATAGTGTTGACAGTCGCTGTTACTTCTAGAAACAAACTGTTAAGTGAACTTTGCTTTGTGGGAGCTAGGGGACCAATATATGTTACAGATCAATTGGTAGCTATTTGGCTCGCAAGCGCTCCAACTGCCATACCTCTGCGTTACACCCTGACTATATATGATAAATACGATGCTGTAAGGTATGAAAAGTTTTTGGCTGTACAATCAATTGTAGAAGGGTTCGACGTAAATCGACATATACAACGTGTTTCTTCAATTGATCGTCAAGAGTTTAACAAATTAATCGGTAAATCCAATGGTGTGAAAATTGGAATTACTATTCATGAACAAATTCATGAATAACATTTGTAAGCAAAACTTTTTTTTTTTTCATTTTTTTATAATTTGTAATAATTTTGAGTAATTTTGAATATTATTTTTAGTTCACCTCAAAATTTCTACGCTAAAAATCAAATGTACAAAATTATTAAGTTTTTGTTTATGTATGTATTTATTAACTCTTAATTTAAATTAGTTTAAATTATTTTTTTTTTTAATTTAGCAAGCAATTCAGAGCACTCTTCTCGTGGGGCAAACATCCAAAGCATTTATAATCCTTTTAATTAATTCAAAATTATATATAAAAATTTCGAAATATAAATTTATTTTTTATATATTTAGAGTTCTATAAAAAAAAATTTTGGTGATTATTTTTATAGAAACTCATCAATTTTAATAAAAAAAAATCGTTTGGCACAAAATAAATATTTTTTCCATTCTTATCATATGCATGAAGACTATAACTTCAAAAACAATCAAATACATGTATATACATAAATTATATATATATATATATATATATATATATCCCTTAACGTGATCACTCCACTCCACTAAAAACCGCAATATTTTATTATTTAGTTCAATATTTACCTACATAAGCCAATGTGTTTTAAGGACGTCCCCATTTGCGACTGAATTGGGGTTTCCAAACTAGAGCTTGTCGACAAATTTCTGTGGCGTTCTTTTGTAATGTGTGACATAGCCAACGCCATTTTCGTAGTTTTATATATTTGGCCATTGATTCCAATTTACATTACATTTCATATAACCCGGAATTACTAATGATATGTGACCACCACACCTTGAGAATAAATCGAAGACATCTATTGATGAAACTTTGAATTTTTTTCTGTACAAAATTCATTACAAGCCAAATCTCACATCCATAGAGCAATACTGAGATGATGTTTGACTTATTTAAGTTTTGTGACGTAACTACGAGTATGCGCCCGTTGCCTTGGTAATTCTGGTTAGGATATCCTTACTTGCGCTATCGTCTGCGGATGTTATACTACCCTAGGTAGTTAGGACCTGCTCGTTGCTCAGCTCAAATATGAATGCACGTAAATATAAAATTTTTTGGGATCTAAAAGAAACTACTATTTCTAGTGAGATGCTACTAACACTTTTTTGTTGTTGTTGTAATGTATGCATAAGTGCTTGTGGTAATATGAAATGAAATAAATATTAAGTGCGTTAGGAAATAACTTTATTTTTAAAGGAGTTTTTTTTTCTTATAACTTAAAAGACAACAACAAAGTGCAGTATCAAAGTGCAGGAATTTTTACACTTTATTTTTTTTTTTTAATTTATATTAGCTTTTGTGAAATTTGATTTTTATTATAGGTAAATAATAAATAAATTTATTATAATAAATAAACTTATTATAATAAATAGTAAAAACAGATTGTCTACAACGTATTTATTTTATACATAAAATTCTAGATTTTATCTAGATATCTAGATATAATCAATGAAGTATACGTTAATTAATTAATTAATTTTTTATGCACTTTTTTTTTGTTATTTTATTCATTGCACTTATTAGACCAAACATTTATGGTTCTATAAATTCAACAAACGCCTAAATGGTTGGACATTTTATAAATTCTAATTTACGCTTTTTATAATAATTAATAATAATTATCCAAAAACAAAAAAGTTGAAAGTGTTAAAATAACGACAACGCATATAATGTTGGTTTATGCTTTTATTTATTTATTTTTAATTTTTGAAAAATGTTAATTTTTTTACAAAGTTAAAACAATGAATAAGTAAAAACCTAAAACCTTTTTGGGTCACCGAACCTTAATGAACACATTTCTTTAACAGTTTTACTGTCTCTGCGAAAAATGTTCATACGAAAAACTCTGGTTCAGTCAACAGTAAATGCTTTCAGTACGCGCATTTTGCATAATTTTGTGCAATTATTTGTCTACATTTGCAATTTAAAATTTTTCACAGATTATTTGTGCGCTATAATTTGCATTTTAGTTTTACATACCCAGATACACGTAAAAAGTATCTATTAGGCAACTGATTGGTACACTACCATTAACGTTTTAGTATATTACTGCTTCCATATTCTGTATATCATATGTGTCTTGACTTTTTGTCAGGTTGAACTGATTGACTTTACTTAGAATTAATTCTTGTAGATCACAAAGGCTTTGACACCTAATGTCCTTCCCTATATAGAAGATCCCTCTCTATATAGATTGTTAATTACTAGCTTAAACAGAGGGAGTTAGTTTCTTGTTTCGAAAAATGAAGAAAATCGTGTGGCATAAGTTTATTTTTCAGATTAACTAGATATCACAGCGCATAAGTTGAATTAAACACGATAATCCGTTCCAGGCTAGAAGAATTTATTATATTAGCAAGAGGTCTAACCAGTGGATTCACATGGTTTTCAAGTTTTGAAACATGTTTCTGCCTTATGCTCTCGAATTCGATTTTAATCATCGGAGCTTCCAAATAGAAGAAATTTTAAATGAATAAAATAAATTCCGAAACCAAAGGAAAAATAAATAATAAAAATAGAGTGGATCTTATATTGTCTGCAACATTTACTTGAACACTGGAGAGCACAAACAGGCATGCGACAGTCAAAAAGATTCATTGACCTTATCACATCAAAGTTGATGCTATCCTTGGCTTTAGCAGAAACGATATTTCAGGACACTGTGGACTTAATTACCACATGAAGATTATAAGTGTGGTAGAAACTGACTCCTGTCGACTCTGTCATGAGGAGTAGGAAACATCAGAACATGTTCTATGCAACTGCCCAGCGGTGGCAAAACGTAGACTCGATTATCTTGAATGCGGGATCTTAGTCCCAAATCAAATAGGTAAAATTAAGCCCACAGCAATTATAAGATTTATTAATAGTCTAAAATTGTCCTAGTTAGGCTTTTAGGCGCACAATAGATCTTTTAGGTCGGGGTGCTTTAATAGCCTATTACTTAAATAATAATATATTGTCTGCATAGATATACCATTTATATATATTATAGGTATGTATGTTTAAAATTAATATTGAAACTACTAGATCAATCACTGAATAATCGTGAAGCTTATACGCAATACATAAATTAGTCAATGAAATGGGTGGGACCCTGTAGTACCCCAGCTATTAAAGAGTAAAAGTGCCCAGTTGCGCTGACTCGAAAAAAGGATTAACATACATACTAGATGAAAAAATGTTAACTTTATAGAGTCTGTGTATTAAATGTCTATAAAGTTCTCATAATATGTTTTAATATTTTTAACTTAATTGATTTACTTAATTTACTTAACTTAATTTACATAAATTTACTTAATTGACGAAGACTTTAGTATGTATTTCTTTGTACAACATAATTTTAACATTAAATTAAAAAAAAAATATTTTTGGTATGGCAACAATTATAATTTATTAATATTATAATGTTAATAATACTGACAGTGATAAAATTGTGAAAAAAATTAATGAAGAATTAATAAAACTGAATTCATTACTGTCGCCCTTGTAGTATAATCGAAAATTATTTTACAAAGGAGAATAGCAGTATTTATATTTAATAAGATACTCTTTGATGTGAATATACCATATATACCATATATGGTATATCTTTATAGTTATTCTTTTTTATGTAGTATTACATATTCTGATTTTACAATAAACTTGTTCAGTATGGCTGCTGTAATTTGCATACGTTCATTTGATAATGGATTTTAGCCAAGCCTAATGTTTTGAGCAACTTTTTCGACTGGGCTATCTATATATTAATATATATAAGTCAGTTTTCGAGATATCCTACTTTAAAATTATAAATTTTTACATAAATATCGTTTGTGACGTGAATGCTAAATGTCGAATATAGTATTTAATAGTGTGATCAATGTAAAAAATTTATAATTGTAAACATTGATATCTTGAAAAGTGTTCTATATCGTCATACACCGTAAAGGGAGAGGTTGCTCAAAATGGCTGACTCTACTAAAACCCAATGTGTTCGAGAAATCGGAATCGGAATGGTGTATAAGTTTTATAGCTAAAATTATCATAAATTGTAATCAAAAAATCAGTAGAGGTAAACATATATTTACAGACGTTAATAGAGCTTGTTAATTCAAGTTAACATATTATAAAATTTGCTTATTATTTATACTAACATACTGTAAATCAAATATCAAAACAATGTTTTATTTAAACGCTGGGATATTTACATTTTTTGTTACTTTCAGGCCATCTTAATTATAATACCATAACCGATCGCTTTTCAACCATCTTGAGTGGTTTAAATGGTAAAAATCATTTTCTTTTTATTTTTTCAATAAGTTTTCAATAAGTTTGTTTATCACTCAACATCAAGAACAATATTCTATATTTTATATTATTATATTATAATATTATTTAATTGCTCGAAGGTGTTTTCTCTTGAAAGCTAAAGAATCAGGTCTTCTACTTTTTTTTGTGCAGTAGGTGAAAAGCATCAACAGATATTGTGATACTTTAACCAACGGTTCATTCCTCTTAGGAATGATAGTGGAAGATAGTGGATGTTCAGCGACTGCAACCTCATTCCAGTAATCAGGGAAAGACGGCAATAGGGGCTTTGTATTTGTGTTCACAAATTCATCTAAGCTAGGAGTGAGGATGCATTAGAGCTGATGGGTAATTGCCTAGAAAAATACCTAGGAGAGGAGACTACTAACGATATACTTTATGGTGAGGGTTAAGTTATCCGCGATTGTACAGTGGGATGAAGTGGGGGGTGCGAGCCATTTCGTGGAAGTAGAATCAGGTCTTCTGTGTAGTAAAGTTCAGACAACATTAAGCTTAGAACACATTTTTATTTGACATGTGGACTTACATTAACTTGGATATATTATATACGTCCGGCAGTTCAGTTATATTGTTATCATATATAAAACTCCGAATCATATACATGTACTATCTTCGTTGACATTCTATAATTAATAAGCTTGTAGATAAGAGTAATTTAATGTATTGTATCACTAATTATGTATATATATATAAACATATAAGATTTGTTTTTTTAAATAATATTTTAATATATATTACTTGAAAATTATATATACTCCAAATCATATAAAGTATCTTCGTCGACGTCTACAATTGCTAGATTTGCAGAAGTGAGAGCCTCATTGTATCGTATCCCTACATTTTTTATATGTATATAAAAAGTGTATTTATATATAATAAATTAATATATAATATTTATAGATGTTAAAAGCTTTTGTGTGGTTTGAACAGCAACTTAAGTATGGATGTGTGTACTACCAGATA